CTCTCTCTCCTCTCTCTCTCTCTCTCTCTCTCTCTCTCTCTCTCTTCTCTTGTTCTTCTTCTTCATCTTCATCTTTATCGCGCCTAAAAAAAAAAACCTTCCTTTTCTCTTTAATGGCGTGATTGATCTTCTCCCCCTTGTAAAAAACTCCAGTCTTTCTCTTCAAACAGTCTCTTTTAAATCTCCGGTTTTTCTTTTTCTTCCTTCGTTATCTAACCATGGCGTTTCTTCTGTTTTTGTTTCTCTTCTTCTCTGTTTCGCGTTCCGCCATCGTTGATCTAAGCTCAGAAACGACTTCTTTGATCTCCTTTAAGCTCTCACTCGAAAACCCATATCGTCTTTCTTCATGGAACGTTTCGTCTTCCTCGTCGTCTCACTGTGCTTGGGAAGGCGTTACGTGTTTGTTCGGACGAGTCTACTCGCTCTCTCTGCCTTCAATGTCTCTCAAAGGCCATCTCTCTCCTTCTCTCTTCTCCCTCCCGTCTCTCTCCGTCCTAGACTTGTCCGGAAACTCCCTCTCCGGCCAGATTCCGGAGGAGATTTCAAGTTTGAAGAACCTTAAAGTGCTTTGTCTAGCTCGAAACCACTTCTCCGGTATGATTCCGTCTGAAATTGGGAAACTGAAACAGCTTCAAACCCTAGACCTCTCTGGAAACTCCCTCACGGGACACCTCCCGAGTCGACTCAGCGAGTTGCCTCAGCTTCTCTACCTTGACCTAAGTGACAACCACTTCTCAGGTTCGCTTTCTCCGTCCTTCTTCCTCAGCTTCCCTGCACTCTCTTCACTCGACGTCTCCAACAACTCACTCTCCGGCAAAATCCCTCCAGAAATTGGGAAATTGAGTAATCTCTCCGATCTTTACATGGGACTCAACTTGTTCTCCGGTCGAATCCCGCCGGAGATTGGTAACATCTCGTTGCTGAAGAACTTTGTTGCACCTTCTTGCTTCTTCATGGGGCCGTTACCAAATGAGATATCCAAGCTGAAACACTTAGCAAAGCTCGACCTTTCTTACAACCCACTCGAGTGTTCAATCCCCAAATCATTCGGAGAGCTGCAGAATCTGAGTATACTGAATCTCGTCTCCGCTGAGCTTGACGGAATGATCCCTCCAGAGCTTGGTAATTGTAAAAGCCTCAAGACACTGATGCTTTCTTTCAATTCTCTCTCTGGTTCTTTGCCATCTGAGCTTTCAGATATTCCTCTGTTGACGTTTTCTGCTGAAAGGAATCAGCTTTCAGGTTCATTGCCTTCTTGGATAAGCAAATGGAAGAAACTGGACTCACTTCTGTTGGCTAACAATCGGTTTTCAGGAAAAATCCCTCGTGAGATTGGAGATTGTCCAATGTTAAAGCATCTCAGTCTAGCTAGCAACTTGTTAACTGGTTCGATTCCTAGGGAGCTTTGTGGTTCAGGTTTGTTGGAGGAGATTGATCTCTCTGGGAATTTTCTCTCGGGAACAATTGAGGAGGTCTTCGTTGGATGTTCGTCTCTTATAGAGTTGATTCTTACTAATAATCAGATCAATGGCTCTATTCCTGAGGATCTTTCGAAGCTTCCACTGATGGCACTTGACTTGGATTCCAACAACCTCACAGGAGAAATCCCAACGAGTCTCTGGAGATCAACGAACTTGATGGAGTTCTCAGCTTCTTATAACCGTCTAGAAGGTTATTTGCCTGCAGCGATTGGCAATGCAGCTTCACTGACGCGGCTGGTTCTCAGTGATAATCAGTTAAAAGGTGAAATCCCAAGGGAGATTGGAAAACTTACATCTTTGTCTGTCCTGAATCTGAATTCAAACATGCTTCAAGGGAAGATACCAAACGAGCTCGGTGACTGTACTTCTTTGACAACATTGGATCTTGGCAACAACAATCTCCAAGGACAGATTCCAGACAGAATTACTGGTCTTGCTCAGCTTCAATGCCTGGTTCTCTCTTACAACAATCTCTCGGGGTCGATTCCATCAAAACCGTCTTCTTATTTCCATCAGACAGACATACCTGATCTGAGCTTTCTTCAGCACCATGGGATATTTGATCTCTCCTTCAACCAATTGACTGGTCCTATACCAGAAGAACTTGGCGACTGTGTGGTAGTGGTAGAGATTTTACTGAGCAACAACCATCTCTCCGGAGTAATCCCAGCTTCACTCTCTCGTTTGACCAACCTCACAATTCTGGAACTATCTGGAAATTCCCTTACCGGCTCCATTCCAGAGGAGATAGGTCACTCTCCTAAGTTGCAGGGGTTAAACTTGGCGAATAATCAGCTCAATGGCCATATACCGGAAAGCTTTGGCCTTTTAGGTAGCTTGGTGAAGCTAAACTTGACAAGTAACCAGCTGGATGGATCGGTTCCTGCTTCTCTTGGGAACTTGAAAGAGGTTACACACATGGACTTGAGTATTAATAAGCTAAGTGGTGAGCTTCCATCGGCACTGTCTCAGATGCTCAAACTCGTAGGCCTTTACATTGAACAGAACAATTTCAGTGGAGAAATCCCTTCGGATCTTGGTAACCTTACGCAGCTTGAGTACTTTGATGCTTCTGAGAATAGGCTATCTGGAGAGATACCAACAAAGATCTGTGGATTGCCTAATTTGGTTTTCTTGAATCTAGCCAAGAATAAACTGGGAGGAGAGGTACCGAGAGATGGTGTTTGCCAGGATCCTTCCAAGGCATTGCTTTCAGGGAACAAAGAGTTGTGTGGCAGAGTGATTGGATCAGATTGCAAGATCGATGGAAGCAAGTTGATGACTGCTTGGGGACTTGCAGGAATCATTCTTGGGTGTACAATCATCATCTTTGTGTTTGTTTTCTCTCTGTGCAAATGGGTTATGACAAAGAGAGTGAAGCAAAGAGATGATCCAGAGAGAATGGAGGAAAGCAGGTTAAAAGGGTTTGTTGATCAAAACCTCTACTTCTTAAGTGGAAGCAGGTCAAGAGAGCCTTTAAGCATCAACATTGCCATGTTCGAGCAGCCACTTCTCAAGGTGAGTCTTGCAGATATAGTGGAGGCAACCGATCACTTCTGTAAGAAGAACATTATAGGAGACGGTGGTTTTGGGACAGTTTACAAAGCTTGTTTACCCGGTGGGAAAACAGTAGCGGTCAAGAAGCTAAGCGAAGCCAAAACTCAGGGAAACCGTGAATTCATGGCAGAAATGGAGACTCTAGGGAAAGTGAAGCATCCGAATCTGGTGTCTTTGCTTGGGTATTGCTCTTTCAGCGAAGAGAAACTTCTTGTGTATGAGTACATGGTAAATGGGAGCTTGGACCACTGGTTAAGGAACCAAACTGGGATACTAGAAGTACTAGACTGGTCCAAACGCCTCAAAATCGCGGTTGGAGCGGCAAGAGGACTAGCATTCCTGCATCATGGCTTCATCCCACACATCATACACAGGGATATCAAAGCAAGCAACATTCTGTTGGACAGTGACTTCGAGCCTAAGGTTGCAGATTTTGGGTTAGCTAGACTGATCAGCGCGTGTGAGACTCACGTGAGCACAGTAATCGCGGGGACGTTTGGGTATATCCCACCTGAATATGGTCAGAGCGCACGAGCCACAACCAAGGGAGACGTGTACAGTTTCGGGGTGATATTGCTGGAGCTGGTCACAGGGAAAGAGCCGACGGGTCCAGACTTTAAAGAGAGTGAAGGAGGGAACTTGGTAGGTTGGGTGATGCAGAAGATAAACAAAGGGAAAGCTGTGGATGTTCTAGATCCGCTGGTTGTATCGATGACACTGAAGCACTCCATGCTTCGTCTGCTTCAGATCGCTGTGCTCTGTCTTGCTGAAACGCCAGCAAATCGCCCGACCATGCTTGATGTGTTGAAGGCCCTCAAGGAAATATAAAGCGTTGTTGTCGTTGTTTCTTGTGTCAGTGTTTCTTGTTGTTCAAGTAACTGTAGTGCTAACCGAAAAGCGAAGTGCGTGTAGGGTTTGTAATGATAATGTGTAACCTCCGAATACCTCAGGAAACCAAACTTTTTCAATTCGCAAGCCACTCAAATTGACAGAAATACCCTTTTGCCTTCAAAACTACATTTTAAGATAATTTATAAGAGAAAAAAAAAGAAAAAGGTTGGATTCTAGCTGTTTGATGTCAAGTCAATATCAAAGAAAAACACAGTGTATGGGTCAGTAAATAATTACTAACTTCTGGCTTTTATATATATTTACTTACAGTCACTCCCACTTATGTTTATTCTCTCTAGCTATATTATTGACATACATACAAATTTTGAAATTTCTACAACTTGCGAAGTGTCACTGTTTTGTTTCTTGTTCTGTCGCCAAATTGGTTCATGTAAATTTTATAAATTAAAGGAGCCCAAGAAAAATGTTTACAAAACGGGAATTCGTATAAACAATTATGATAAACTATATTGCAGTTTCACCATGTAAATTGTAATCAAGTTCTTAACTTTCTTGTGTCATAAAATTGGTAAATAAGGGTTTGTTTTCTCCAATTAACTAGAAAACCATAAAAAAGTGAAAAGGTCATAGTCTCAGTGCAATATAGAGTCGTAGACTTTTGTCCAAACACAAACAATTGAAGTCATATTTTTCACAGATTAAGCATTTATTGCACTGACCTAAAAATATCTCGATATGTTTATGGCTCTATCAATCAAAAATAACTAGTGGGTTTAAGTATTATACGGGCCAGGCCTATTCAATGTGAGATATCACGCCGTCTATGAACCCCCCCCCCCCCCCCCCAGCCCATGTCTAAACGCTAACATTAATTGTTTGCAATGTTTGGGTAATCACAAATAATACAAACAAAATGTGAGTTTAGTGTAAAAGTAGAGTCTCATACACTCATCAGTAGACCGACGAAAATATATAGAGAAAGACAACGACCTGTATTGGTATACGAAAGACTGCATGGACCATGTGAATAAGTCAATAATTAATGCATAATTGTTACACTATTTAATGATTGATTACTATGTTTATCCAGTGATATCTTTAATTAGTTAGTTTTTATTTTCTTTTCTTTTTGTGCTAAATATTATTGGTTGGTAACTAATTACAGTTGCATACTGATTTGATCTTTGCTTTGCTCTTCTCTGTCCAGCCTTGTTATATTCCAAGAATATGCTATGTAATGAATAATAAAAATTCAAAGGAAAACAAAAATGAATAATTATCTATATTACTATATAGTTAAGCTCGTCGCATTCCATTTCCATGCGTGATGATATATATTAGTCGTGACTGATGTGTGCATATGACTCGTGTCATACGCTTCAACTTATGATAAATGTACCTACCTAAAGGCGTGCAAGCAAATTAGTTTTTGTTTCTAAGCTTATTTCTGTAGAAAAATACAAAACCAATAAATATTTTTTGGGCAAAATTTGGCATGTGAACAATGGGAAGGATATAGTACACATTGCTACTTATATGTCTGCAAGAAACTTTACTCTAGTACATATTTTAGAATAAGACACGAGATCGAATATTTTGAAAAAAAAAATACAATTATGTAAAAAATAGATATGAGGAAAAAGATTATTACAAAACAAGAAACATATAGCAGGTATCGTAGATTCGGTTAGTTTACAAATGAAGTAAACTTTAGATGACAGCCTAAGTATCATAAACTAACTAAAATAAAGAATAAGGATTACCTGTTAAGGTTGGTTGTTTAGCTTTAAGATATGCTACAACTGGAATCGGTTTGGTATAATATAGCCGGTTAGTGGTTCAGGACCGGTCAGGTTAGGTTAAGATTAGATGTGATGTTAGTTCAACACCTACCAATCGTGTGTGTTTGGTCTTGGAGAGAGATTCGATTGGGATCCGACGGCTCGTGACTCGTGAACGATGGAAGAAGGAAGGGTGTGCACTGCAATGCCATTATAGAGGGGAGAATCGAAGCAGACGTAGGATTTTTTTTTTTTTTTTTTTTTTTTCTTTGGGTTGACGTCAACCATTGAATAAATGACACGTGGAAAACATTAAGAAGAGCGTCTTGATAAAAGAATAAATGCTTTTCTTTCATTTGTTAAAAAGAAAGGAGAAAAATAAAAATACCTTGTCTAATCCTTCACGCCGCGTCTTAGCCATTTAAAAAAAAAAAAAAACAAAAAAGGAAAGCTTTCAGACAACACTGAGGTTTTGCTTTCAGCTTGGCTTATATATTACAGTATTATTGTCTATCGGCTCGGCTGGGCTTAATGAATTGGACTAATCAGAAAATATTTTTGTACGATATAAATATTAGCCATGGGCTAGGGCTAATATTTTCCGAATCTTCGCTTTGTGCCCAGGACTAATAAATATCTCTCTAAAATCTTCTATTTTACTCAATATCTTCTAATTAATGAAAACTAATCATTATACTTATCTCAAATTATTAATAGCTTTAACAAAACACATTCTGTATTTTGAGAGATTTATTTTTAAAAAGTTCGTAAAAACCAAATAAGTGAGATATTTAAAGTAAATAATAATAAATGTGGAGTACGTGAAAAAAGGAAAACAAGAATGGGAAAGAACGTGAAGACTGTAAACAAGCCAAAATAATAAAAATAAAGTAGTTAAAAGATATCTTAAAAAAATTATTTATAGAAGAAAAAAAACAAAAAGAAATGTTGTAATCTTCTTCAATGTTTATCCTTTTGTTGTTATTATTTATTGTGACGTTAATGCGTTTTTATCGTTTCCTTTTTACTTTTTACTCACGCAAAAACCTTTTATTTTTGGATTTTTTTTTTTAACATATGTACTTCACGCGAAAGTTGCATCTTGAAAAATCTCAAACATTTGTCGTGGAATCCATTTATTCTATTTATTATTTTAAATAAAAATAAAATTTAGATAATTGTGAAAACTCTTTAGCCAAAAAAGGTACCTTTTAATAAGTTTTGTATTAATCCAAAGAAAACAAAGAGATAGACATAACTCGCCGATGACAATGATATTATAAGCCGGATCCAACGACTGCCGTCGCGAGTTTATAAAAAAAAAGAAAAAAGAAAAAGGATAAAATCGAAATCTAAAATCGAACGGTGAAGATAAAAAGCTCACACCGTAACGCTATATCCATGGCAGAAACACCGTAGCAATATCCTCTCTCTCTATCTTTTGTCTTCTTTCTTCCATTCATTTTTTTTGTTTAATAATTAATTTCCAAAATCCGAAACTAACCGATAACCAAACTCTCTCTTCCCTCTCTCTCTCTCTATTGGAGGGAGTGCCGGAATCAAATCGGGAGTATCACCGGAATTTCTCACAATTACTGTTTTGCTTCCACCATCTTCCCCGTGCAATAGTTTTCTTATTCTACTTTGCTCGTTCGTTGAGGAAAGGAGAATTTGAAATTGAGCACCGATTCAACTTTTTTTTTTTTTTTTTTTTGGAATTACATATAATTCTCAGCCTGCTTATGATGATTGGATAGACAGAAACAAACAAAAGGTAAAATATAAAAAAGAGAAGAAGAAGAAGAAGAAGAAGAAGAATTTTCCTGCTCTCTCTCTCTCTCTCTCTCTCTACATCTCTCTCTGCTCCTTTTTATTGTTTTGTTTCGTCGAGAACGTGAAGCCTAGAGAAGGTTACGAGATCCCTTAGCTGCTTTGATTTGCTTTCTGACGGATTCTAATAAGAAGAAGCTGAAGCTGAAGCAGAATTGTGGTAATTATTATCTCGTTACTCTTTTTTTTTTTTTTTTTTTTATTAATTGTGGGTTAGGGTTTTTGATATTGATTATATTTTGTTGTGCCCAAGTTTTGAATTTGGTACAAGTTAGTTGGTGCTTCTTAGCTTCAATTTGCAATAAAATTAAGATCCGAACTTAGGCGAATTGTAGTCTTATGTTGTTTGTAATTCCGAATTTTGTTCCTTTGTTAAATTTTCTTCGTAAGTCAAAACCATTTCTTCATCCTTGCTAAATCTGTTTTTGTTGATGTGCTCCTGTTTTATCCATTGAAAATTGTCATATTTACTTGATCTTTTGTCTGGCATTCATACTTGCTTCCGGTCCCTTATGTTTTTTTTTTTGATAAAAATAATTCATTCTGTTGAGATTTATTTTGATTCCTCTAGTTTGATTGTGGAGTTAGTAAAGCTAGAGAGTTAAAAGTTTTGATCTTTCTTTTTCTTTGTCAGCTGTACAATGCCGTCCGATATATTGGAACCAAGAGGTGTGCCGACACCTTCTCATTTTCATGAAGACATTCGCATCACTCCTGAGGTTACTACATCTTGCATTCTTTGCTTCTTTCTGTATTTTGATTTTCTAACGATACAATTTGGTCTGTATGTGTTCAACGCTTTTTCTCAAGTCATTTGGTGCTTTTTTTTTTTTTGTGCAGAAACAATTTGGTTTTATAAAAAACAACATGATGCCTGAAGGTGGTGGGGATAGATGTTCTAATCTACCGACCAGTTCTTGGACATCTGACAGTTATCAGCTGTCACAACAATCAAGCTTGTCTGGGGCGCTTCCTTCCTTTATCCCTAATGGAAGAACAACTGCAAGCGATACTCACTGGGAGAGCAGTCTATTTTCCAGCTCTCTGTCCGAACTTTTTAGTAGAAAATGTAAGCTTCTTATTCAGTTTTACAAATTAGCACTTGTTGTCATTGTTGGTTTCTAAGTATATCTAACAAAGCACTCCGTCATGTGCTAAACAAACTTCTTATTTTTAAATTTTATTCTGATATGTGTTTCCAAATTGATGGTTTTGCAGTACGGCTACCAAGAAATGACAAGTTAGCCTTTACGTCTGCAAGCCGTGAGGAAGAACCTTCGGAGTCTTTAGAAGAGATGGAAGCACAGACTATTGGGAATCTTCTTCCAGATGAGGACGATCTTTTTGCTGAAGTGGTTGGTGAGGGTGTTCACAAGTCTCGTGCCAATGGTGGAGATGATTTGGATGATTGTGACCTATTCAGCAGTGTTGGTGGCATGGAACTAGATGGAGATGTTTTTTCGTCTGCGGGTCAAAGAGACGGAAAGAGAGGCAGCAATTTTTCGGTTTTTGGTGAGCATCCCTGTGGAGAAACTGTTTCCAGAATACTTTTTGTTACGAATATGGATAGCATCATTGAAGATTACGACCTGAATGCCCTTTTTGAGGTACGTATTTTCACCCGCTTTTCTGGTTATAGATTCATAATTTATGGCAAGACACTGTATTAGCAATTTTGAAAGCCTTCTCTTCTCACTGATGATATATCTATATTTTTAGCAATATGGAAATGTTCGGGCTCTTCATACAGCTGGCAAGAATCGTGGCTTTATCATGGTATCATACTTTGATATAAGATCTGCTCAGAATGCGGCGAGAGCACTCCATGGTAGACTCTTCAGGGGAAGGAAGCTTGATATTCGTTATTCTATCCCAAAGGTGTTGTTAACTGTTCCGATCCCCTTTGTTTGTATAATTGTGGTTTCTCTCCGTACTATGTGCGTTTCACCTGTAGTCTGTGCTATCTTATACCTTGCTTACTACTCTTTGTTTTGATATCAGGAAAATCCCAAAAAAGAGAACTCCAGCGAAGGAGCCTTGTGGGTAAATAATCTTGATTCCTCTATATCCAATGAAGAGCTTCAGAGAATAGTCAGTCCATATGGAGAAATCAGAGAGGTTTGTTAACTAGTGTCCTCCTTGTTCTTGCTTTGTGATATTGACAATTATATATAATTTTTCTATTTCTGTTTGTTTGTAGATTCATAGAACGGTGCATGATAACTCACAAATTTACATAGAATTCTTTGATGTTCGAGCTGTAAAGGCCGCACTTCAAGGACTAAATGGACTTGAGGTCGCTGGGAGGCAGCTTAAACTTGCACCAACCTGTCCAGAGGGTACAAGGTGGTTATAGATTTATCTTCCCGCCTTAGTAATTCTCAATGGCTGCCTGAAACAGTAACTACTGGACTTGAATTGTGTTGATGATACCTGTTTTTTTTTTCCTTTCAGTTTCTTGCCTCAATTTGCTGCAGATGATGGTGAGGGGGGTGTATCTAAAATGGCTTTTAATAACCTATCATCAGCACACATGGGTATAATAGTGCACTCGGTTTATGATGATTCGTTTCTCAATAATTAAGCATCTAAGGATCTCAACTCATACCTATCCTTTAACATCTCTGTTTCAGGGAGACATTTCCCAGGAATCTTAGCTTCGACCTCCATTGATAATGGGTATATGCGAGTGATGCACAATTCTGTTGGGTCACCTGTGAACTCCTTCATTGAGCGCCATCAGAGTCTCGATGTTCCTATTGGTTTGCCACCATCGGCAAGAGTCATCTCAGCTAGCAAGCCTGTTGGTCTTCAGGAGCCTGGAAACCATTTTGATAATTCGAAATCGGGGATCCAAAGCATGCCAAATCTACATCCTCATTTTCCTGATTACCTTGACAATGTTTCAAGTGGCAATCCATATAAATCCTCTACGACATTCTCTGATATGGTCAGTGATGGGCAAAAAGCAAATGAAGGCTTTATGATGAGCAGTGTTCGTGGGATTGGCCTAGATGGGTTTAATGGAAATGGTAATTACATGTTCCTCTTATTGCTTTTCTGCTCTGATACAGTTGCTTAAGGCTAGTGAGGATATGCAACCAACGATTATGAATTCAAGAAGAATAGTTTACTGTAGAATCTCTAATGATGGTTTTTTATATTGATCCTGACTAATGTGAATATGATCTAGTTACTACCTTCAGCATCTGCTTACATGTCCTCCTGGGTTTAAAACTTGTCATTCTTACTAAATTGGTATTGGAATTACATTTTCTCTTTTTAATTTTCTTATTGCAGTCATAGGTTCTCCCATAAATCAAGGATCCCATCGCGGTAACCTCAATTTATGGAGCAACTCTAACACACAGCAACATAATTCATCAAGTGGCATGATGTGGCCTAATTCACCATCTCGCGTCAATGGCATTCCTTCTCAGCGCATCCCACCTGTTACTGCATTCTCTAGAGCATCTCCTCTAATGGTGAACATGGCATCATCGCCTGTGCACCACCACATTGGATCTGCCCCAGTATTAAACTCACCTTTTTGGGATAGAAGACAGGCATATATAGCTGAATCTCCAGAATCTTCTGGATTTCATGGTAGCATGGGATTTCCTAGCTCTTCACCCTCACATCCAGTGGAAATTGGTTCTCATAAGGTTTTATCTCATGTTAGTGGCAATCGCATGGATGCCAATTCAAAAAATGCTGTATTACGATCATCTAGACAGATGCCTCACCTCTTTACTGGGAGGAGCCCTATGCTTTCAGTACCAGGCTCTTTTGATTTGCCTAATGAAAGATACAGGAATCTTTCTCACCGAAGAAGCGAATCTAGCTCTAGTAATGCTGAAAAGAAATTGTATGAGCTTGATGTTGATCGCATATTACGTGGGGAGGACAGCAGGACAACGTTGATGATAAAAAACATTCCTAATAAGTAAGTGAAGTCACCTTTTCTCTATTATTCCTTGTTTTACAACACTCCCAATAAGTGAAATTAGCTGGTTGCTGATTTTATCCTTTTTTTTTGGGTTTAGGTATACTTCGAAGATGCTTCTAGCTGCCATTGATGAGTACTGTAAAGGAACATATGATTTCTTATATCTGCCAATTGACTTCAAGGTATGATCTCTTACCTTTTTACCTTATGGACTCTACTGCAACCATTGAAGCTTGCGGTATTTTCAATGTCGATGTCAATGAACAACCTGCCATCTATTTGCAGAATAAATGCAATGTGGGATATGCTTTCATCAACCTCACCGAACCTGAAAATATTGTTCCGTTTTATAAGGTATGGCCTCGTACCAGTCTATGATCAATTTGTATTGACAATGAACCTTTTGCCGTTAAGAAAAAGAAGAGCATTTGGTTACAAGTTTAAATCCTTAACAGGCATTCAACGGTAAGAAATGGGAAAAGTTCAACAGCGAGAAGGTGGCATCTCTTGCATATGGTCGGATTCAGGGAAAATCAGCTCTTATTGCCCACTTCCAGAACTCAAGTTTGATGAATGAAGACAAACGTTGCAGGCCTATTCTCTTCCAGACCGCTGGGCCAAATGCTGGTGATCAGGTAAGAAAGATCAAGGCCTTACTGGAGATAGTTTTATACTAATCATTGCCAGCCATTTTTATGAGAGTTTGTAAATGGTGCAGGAACCATTTCCGATGGGTTCCAACATCCGGTCAAGACCAGGCAAGCCTCGAACTAGTAGCATCGAGAACTACACACCCAACTTTAGCTCTGATAACCGAGAAGAATTTCCAAATGGGACAGACTCGATGTAACAAATGAGCCAGACAGTTTTAATGTCGTAAGCCAGACTAACCTTAGGCGTCGTCTTCTATCAGAGGTGAAAAAAAGGAAAACCCCAAAAGATTAACACAACAAGGTAAAATATATATATATATGTCGTTGACACCCCCACAGCTCTGTAAATCCCTTGGGGAGTGTGGTAAATTACCTGAGAAAACTCATTTTGCAGAGGAGAAAGTTTTTGAACTTGGTCCTTTAAACTCCTGCTTCACAAGTTTTGTTGTATCACTAAAACCTCCCAGAGAAATCTTGCTGGCCTTTTCTCTTTCTTTTTTTCTTTCTGATTTTTTTTTGTTTTTGCTTTTTAAAAAAAATTGGTGGGTTGTTGTGTGGACAAGGATCTCTTTTCGTTGTACTTTGCATACAAAATGTAACAACCTCGTACGATTGGCCAGTGTCTTGGGACCATAAAACCCCTAAGTCTTTGGGCAATGCCTTCTTCCTTCTTCTATTGGTTTTGAGTGCTTCTTCATTAATCCTGTGTAGGTTGGTGACTCTGAAACCCTCTGGGACAGTCAGTTGTTTAAGCCTCTTATCTAAAGTCGTATGGGTAGTAGTAAATATGTTGATTTGAATAAACATATTCTTTTCCATTGGAGGATGCATTATTAGAGTATGTTATAACAGTTTGGCTCACACGGAAATGTTCAGCCACAAAAGCCAATGGCCCATTTACGGCGGTGGGTACATTCATATGGATAGTAGTATGTTGTATCTTTTTAAGAGCAGCAAATTGGGTTTGGTCTGCAACTGCACCCAGTGAGATTGATGTATGATTCTCTTGGATAACGCAGCGATCTCATACATTCTGATGAGCCCACTTTTATTATGATTCTTCAACTTGTTATATTAATAGAAACAAAAAGTTACTATTTTCATAGTAATTATAGTATGAGTATATATGCTTTTGAAAAAGGTTTTGTTTGCCTTTCTGGTAGCGAAATCTAAGTAATTGGTCATTATTACTTTTCAAAATATGTGTGTGTCTTATTATTCACGTCTCCCTCCCAAAAAAGATGATGCCTTCTTCTCCTCTTTCTATCTATCTTTTTTTCTTTATTTTGTTCCATAATTTCGATTCCAGTCACACCGCATTACCCATTTCTTCTATGAAAACTTTTTTAAAAGGCTTTTTATTCCCCATATATCTCTTAGTTAACAAAATTATCTCTGTTAAATCGACTAGAACAAGATTTATACATACAAACAAAAAAAATAAAAATAAAAATAAAAAACAGAAAAAATAAAATAAATTCTCGTTAGACTCTATTAAAAATAACGTTATACGGTAAATATATAGAGAGATTAGAAAAAATATAATTTGCTAAACTAAGATGAACATAGATTTCTTAAACTATTTATTTGTATATCCTTTTCTATTCTTAACTCTTTTTTTTTTCCATATTTCAAAATAATTATTTCGACTATCAATATCTCGGTTGGTGTCTTCCATTCTACATAAACAAAATACAAACTATATAAGATGTAACATTAAAAAAAAAAAAGGAGTAGCCCAGTGTAGTAAATAAAATCACGTGACGGACGTTTAGATTATCTCTCTCAGTCAATTTAATACATCTAGTATTTTGCACTATTTTCAATTTTATGCAATACTATTTATAACACTGTCATTAATGACATAGTTATCTCACTCAATAATATTAAGGAAAAAGGAAATTTATTTAAGAGAAGAAAAAAAGAAAAAGGAAATTTTTAAAAAGGGAGTCTCAAGACAGATCGTCGACTTGGAAAACAAAAGTGGGTCCCATCTCTTCACTGTCCTAATTTTGTTTGTTTTTTTTTCTTTCTTTTCTTTTTCTCTTTTCGTCTTCCCCCAATCTCCTTCGTGCTTCTTCTTCATCATCTTCTGGCCGGGTACTTCAACTCTCTCGCTAGCTCTAATGGGAAGCTGTTGGTCGGATGGGTCTAACGGTGGTGGTGGTGGAATGGCTGGTGTTGGTGGTGGCTCTACTTCCTCCGCCGCCACTCCTAACGACGCTGTTGACTATTACCTCAAGTCTCGTGGCTACAATGGCCTCTTTTCTCAGATCGAGGTCCCTTTTCTCTTTCCTTCTTTCTTTCCATCCTTTCTCTGTATTATTATTATTACTCTCAACGTTTTCCTTTCTTTCTTGCAGCTTTCCTTCTCTGCTTCCAATTTGCGAGACCGGGATGTGATTTCTAAGGTTCCTTTCTCTTTTTTTTTTTGTTTCCAAGAAAACTGCAATTCTCTTGAATATGGATTTGTTTACTTTTTCACTTTCTTGGGAATCACCACCATTAGTGACTGATGATTCCTCGGAATTGATATTGTAACTTTACACTAGTCTTTTTGATATACAGAGTGATGCAATGGTGGTTGTTTATATCAAAGGAAGAGATGGAACTCTTGCTGAATTGTTCCGTACTGAAGTTGTTTCCAATTCTTTGAACCCTAAGTGGATTAGGAACTTTACTATTGGTTATCAGTTCGAGATTGTTCAAACATTGCTGTAAGTTCAAGCTCCTTCTAATCTCGCTTTATACATACATTGCAAAATTTGAGGAAAAAGGATTTTAATCTTTACTGCACAGGTTTCGTGTCTACGATATTGACACTCAGTTTCAAAATGCTAAAGAGGAGGTAACTTCGTTTTTTCTCTTTTTCATCTTCATCTTAATCAAGTTACCAGTGTTGTTACGTTTGATCATTGGGGGACGTTTCATTTCAGTTGCTTAAGCTCGAAGACCAGCAATTTCTCGGCGAGGCAACATGTACATTGTCTGAGGTATGTTTACATCTCTACTGCTTCTCTGAATGTAAAGATGCAACCTTACTTTTTAGTGCAAAGCTTGTAACTTGATTATGCAGCGCTATAGGTTAATATTGATTTAGATGTTATATTTACTGGTTCACTATGCAGGTTGTCACCAAGTCAAATAGGACGGTTGCCTTAGAACTTATGCGTAAAGAAGGTCCTGCTGCACAGACTCAGCCACAAAACAATGGAAAGCTTATTGTCCATGCTGAGGAGTCTCTAGCTTCTAAGACCAATACAGAGATTGTGTTTAGGGGTTTGAATTTGGAATCTAAGGATACTTTCTCTAAAAGTGTAAGCTGATAATATACTCTTTGGCCAATTTAGCTGAATTTTACTTCGTATAACGTTGTTGTTGTTGTTCAATGTTCATGCTCAGGACCCGTTTTTGGTGATATCTAAGATTGTGGAGCACGGGACTCCAATCCCCGTCTCTAAAACCGAAGTCTTAAAGAATGATCCCAATCCACTTTGGAAACCAGTCTCTCTAAGTGTTCAACAAGTTGGGAGTAAGGTAAACCAACCAAAGGTGTTTCTTATAACTAGAGTTTTTCTGACCTGGAAGATGGTATCAGTTTCCCTTCTGTAATCTTGCAGGACAGCCCACTGGTAATAGAGTGCTTAGACTTCAATGGCAATGGCAATCATGATCTGATCGGGTAACCACAGACTCTCAGTAATTTCCATTCTATATTTGGAATATGAAAATGAGTTGCTTAAGCTGAGATGATTCTTCTTTCTTATTTGGTTTTGCCAGAAAAGTTCAGAAATCTCTTTCAGACTTAGAAAAGCTTCATTTGGCTGGCCAAGGAATCAATTTAGTCTTACCTACTGGTGTTGGACACAAACATGAAGACAGGGTATGGACGCAAACACAAAACAAGAGGTTTTTATACAATATAAAATTTTGGAGAATTCTGATACAATTTTACCTTAATTTCAGGTATTAAAGAGCCAGCTTTTTGTTGACAAATTTACTGAAACCGTCCAGCATACATTCCTAGAATACTTGGCGTCTGGATTTGAATTGAACTTCATGGTTGCTATTGATTTTACAGGTAAAGAAAATATATAAAAAGTGCATAGTTTTTCTAGTACATGACCCTTAAACAAACTATCCAACTTTCCCTTCTTCTATCAGCTTCAAATGGAAACCCACGTCTCCCAGATTCCTTGCATTACATCGATCCTACAGGACGATTAAATGCTTACCAGAGAGTAAGGACTTGATCCATTCACTTTTCTTTGCAGAAGCTGGTGACTGTGTGTGATATTTATTTCTTCTAATTCAGGCAATAGTTGAAGTTGGAGAAGTACTACAGTTCTATGACTCTGACAAACACTTTCCCGCGTGGGGGTTTGGAGCTCGTCCAATCGACATCCCGGTATCACATTGCTTTAACCTCAACGGAAGCAGTACATATTGCGAGGTCTTACAACAAATCTTACTGACATTGAACTAAACAACTGTATATCAAAATTTCTCCAGTTAATCATTTTTGTTTGTTTGCTTGCTTCTCAGGTAGATGGGATTCAAGGTATTATGAATGCCTACAACGGCGCTCTCTTCAACGTATCTTTTGCAGGGCCTACTCTATTTGGTCCGGTGATCAACGCTGCTGCAACAATTGCAAGCGACTCACTCAGTCAAAGTGCAAAGAAATATTTCGTCTTGTTGATAATCACTGTGAGTTTATATCCAAAATAGAAGATGTGTTTTTCTCTGATTCTTTTGTGTGTGTTTGCTATATAAAATACAATGTCACGTCTTTTACAGGATGGAGTGATAACAGATCTCCAAGAAACGAGAGACTCAATTGTCAGTGCATCGGATTTACCATTATCAATCCTCATTGTTGGAGTGGGAGGAGCTGACTATAAAGAAATGGAGGTTCTTAAACAAAAGAAAAGCATTATGCTTAATTTCACATATGTAATAGATTCTTACAAAGTCATGTGTTGGCTGTCGTTTGTTATGCAGGTACTAGATGGAGATAAAGGAGAGAAATTAGAGAGCTCGAGTGGTCGAGTAGCATCGCGTGATATCGTCCAGTTTGTTGCATTAAGAGACATACAATGTGAGTCTTCCTTGTGTTTCTCTTTGATCTTGGTTCCTTGTATTATTTTCTTGGTCTGTGATGGTCATTGTAAGGGTTGTTGTTGTTGTTGTGTAGATGGAGAGGTGTCAGTGGTAGAAGCGCTCCTAGCTGAATTGCCTACACAATTTTTGACGTATATGAGAAACCGTAACATCACTCCCACCACCGCCACCACCACCACCTCCTCTTCTTCTTGATCCCCCACTCACTCTCAACACTGTACATACATCATTCAGTCATTCGCAGCACTTAACGCTGTCGTTTTATCTTCTTTTTTCCTTGTCTGGAATTTTTCCATTTTCCAGTATTATTCCACGTCATATCTGAAATTCTCAACCACTCTTTGATTGATTTGTTGCCAAAAACAAAACAAAATATTATTATTTATATTAATATCAATTGCCAAATACAACGGTCAACATATGGAGTTGTTGACTTTCTTCTTATAGTTGGGATTTAGGTGGACTTTTTTCTAAGCCTAAACTATAAACGTGACATTTGATTCATCTTTACCGTACTTCTCGCTGACACAAATTCAAAATTTACGAAAAATATAACTATTCAAACTAAACATGATATTTAAAAAAAAAATTAAATTATTAAAATAGTAATGCTATAGTAAATTTATTAATTAAGACTATAAAATCATCTGATTGTTTCTTTAATTATCATAAAATCGAAAGTACATATAATAAATGTAAAGTAAAAAAAAAAAAGAGTTGTCTTGAGATGATATGCAAAGACGAACAAAAAAAAATCAATTAAGGTATGTGAGTGACGTCCTCGAACACAAATATTTCCTGCATGCTGTGCAGAAATGGCCATCCCAAAATGTTTGTTTAATATTTGGTTCTCTCCATTTTAGTCAACAAAACTGCAAACACCTAGCTGGCTAGCTACCAATGGCCATGTGTATATCCTGTTTTTGAAGTTTCTTTATTCACTTTCATATTCAAATTTCATACTCTATAATTTAAGTTTTTTTTTTTTTGATTGACTTTCTTATTAAATTGTAGCAAACTTATTTATGGTCACTTATATTTCGTCGTCGTGTTTTATTAACCTACTTAAATTTTGAGTGTTACACAATTTTCGTACTTTAACAATTACAATATAAAATAAAGAAAACAAAATTTGCCACGTCCAACGAAACACGACTTTAAAACGACAACAGTTCGTCGTCGATTGGAACACTCTTACTGATGAGTTCATTTGCTACTTAAATATGAAAATGCACTTACCACGGACCCCATTATATATACAAACTGCTTTTGTGAACATATCCTTAAATAGTTTTGTTAATACCAAAATTTGGTTCTTTTATTTGAAAAAAGTATATAGTAACAGTATTAGTTTGATCCGTCTTACGTATAATTTGGATAAAACTCAAGAATTGTGATCATCTGCTTCTATTTGTTTTCTTTCTAAATCCTCCAAATCGTGGACTTTAGTTTGTGCTGTTATGCATACGTAAAAACGTTTTGTTCATTACTGGATCCAAAAACCTGCCAGGTTAACATGAAGTTTGAACTGAACTATTTCCAGATATATATGAAATTGCAAAATTCACACGTTTTCACTTGAGATAGTGATGATGATCAGTGTGTGTACACACAGTTCTCCAACGTAACTACTTTTGTTTTTTCAATCTCTATCCAAATCTTTATTTTTTTAGGAAAATAAAAAGACCCCACTGATGATCACACACGTACGTGAACTCCTTTTTTTATATTTATATCATCACAATTCACAACATATATATTTCCCTTTTTTGCTCAGATAATATAACACAACATGTATACCATATGAAGAACAATTTGATTTTACCTTTTGAGAGAATGTCGGTTTATAGTTATACACGAAGAATATCTATGTTTTTTTTTTGTATTTAAAATCAAATTAACTATCTAAAAGAATATAGCTTTTTTCTTCTTCTTCTTTTCTCTTCTTCGATTCCAAGCATGTGTTCTTGATAAAAGAAACAATTAATTATAAACAGAATAAATATACATACATGCATGCATGTGTTCTTTAGTTTTGTTTTCTCCCTTTTTGTCATCTTTGATCTTTTTATATACGAGTGTTCATATTATTTTGCATTCTTCCATCAGAGCTTTTCTGTTAATCTTTATTGATATCCATTTCATAACTCGTTCAGATTCACACGTACGCATTTCTTTCAATAAGCAATTAATCGAGAAAAGCTTTTTTCACGCGTCTCTACAGTTTTAAGCGAGTACAGTGATATAATTTTAAGTGCATGATTTTTATGTGTCTCAAGAACTTATAATTGCTAGATATAATAAATAATTTATAAATAAAGTATATGCAAAGCTTCAGCTTGACGTTACATTTTTGTTTTAATTTGTCTTTATGTTCACACAGACGAGAATGCTATAAAACCTTCAGAGTTTGCTCACCCCAAAACCCTAATTATATATTTCCTCTTTCATGTTCCTTCTTTTGTCTTCTTTGTTTCTCATGTTCAACGCTAGCTTCCTCAATATTAAGTCTTAAACCCTAAACATCTATATATTAAAGATTTTACCAAGATGGCGAATCAAAGAAATTATGGAAAGAGGCCCTATCGAGCTGATGAATCGGATGAAAAGAAACAAGGCGATGATGATGAGAACATATTCCCTTTCTTCTCGGCCCGATCTCAATACGACATGCGTGCCATGGTCTCAGCCTTGACTCAAGTCATCGGAAACCAAAGCAGCTCTCATGAGAATAACCAACATCAACCTGTTCTCTATAATCAACAAGATCCTAACCAACCAATTCCTCCCACTCAAGATCAAGGTATATATATATATATATACTGTAGTTGACATATATTTGGGTTATTTAGCATATTTATGTGGGGGATATATATGTACATAGAAATGATAATATAGTAGTTGAATGTTTTTGCTCTGGACGACGAATTGTCCATATACCATAGTTATTGTCTTTGTAGTATGTACATATGAGAAATCAATATAATTTTATGAAGAATGTTTGTACTTGTTGATTATTTGAAGGAGTCTTGAGGAAGAGGCACTATAGAGGGGTAAGACAACGACCATGGGGAAAGTGGGCAGCTGAAATTAGGGATCCGCAAAAGGCAGCACGGGTGTGGCTCGGGACATTTGAGACTGCGGAAGCTGCAGCGTTAGCTTATGATGAAGCAGCTCTTAAGTTCAAAGGAAGCAAAGCCAAACTCAATTTCCCTGAGAGGGCTCAACTAGCAAGTAACACTAGTACTATCACCGGTCCACCAAACTATTACTCTTCTAATAATCAAATATACTACTCAAATCCGCAGACGAATCCCCAAAGCATACCGTATTATAACCAATACTACTATAACCAATACCTTCATCAAGGCGGAAATAGTAGTAATGATGCACTAAGCTATAGCTTGGCCGGTGGGGAAACTGGAGGCTCTATGTATAATCATCAGACGCTGTCAACTACAACATCTTCCTCATCTGGTGGAACTTCGAGGCAGCCAGAAGAACAAGATTACGCAAGATATTTGCACTTTGGGGATTCTTCACCTCCTAATTCGGGTTTTTGATGAGATCCCTAGTAAATTGGTAACAAGGGATGTTAGGTCACTTGTTATGAGGGGATCATATGTTTCTTGAGTGTTTTGTTTTTTCAGTATAAGTGTGCTGTTTGTGATTCAGTTTGTTTATTTCTTCTTTCAAGAGTTTTCATGGGGTTCTTCGTTAACAACCCCTGCATTTGAATTTGTTTTCAGTTTTAATTTTTTTTTTTTTGGGTAACTCGTTTTGTATTGAAGAAGAAATTAACTATATACAAAAATGTTACCCTTTAAATTTGATGGAGTATCCACAAACAAGCACATGTGGAGGCATAACAAATTTTAGCATTGTGATACGACCATTATATATTGTTAGAAATAAACACAGACCAAAGATTTTTATTGAATGAAAGTACATATATACACATATATATGTAGTATCTTACAAGACAAAAGCCAAACTCATGAAGATGAATTCGCAGGTCAAATATATAAAACCACAATATCCTTTTCATATTTAATTAGAGAGTTTTGACCTCTGTTTGTGGGCTCTCTTGAGTCAAATTGAATTCAGAATATTGCTACGTATAATCGTTTATGGTCAGGAACTGGTTTTTATTATTCGAAAACAATCGTAGACTATAGTTAGAATGTCGTATTAGGACTACACTTGTTGACAATATATTGTATTAAAAGAATGATGAAAAGTAATTTCCATTATACTATACTCATCAGGGTTTCAAAAGTACATAGTTTGCTTGACAATTAAACAGGTAAAACGAGACTTTTACTTGCAAGTTCTTTTTGTTCTTATTAAAACAAAAAAATATAGATACTGGCCTTACAAGTATAACCAACAAGTATGAAAACTTGACCAAAACAGATTCCCCAAGCGTTTGTTCAAATCCTTGACTTTTGTCAATCCTAAGAGATTGACTCCTTTTGACCAATATTTTTATTAGTAATATAATTCTTCCAACATATCTTAAACGTATGATAAAAACAATTAATAGAAAATGATATAGGAAATGAGGACGCATATTCATAAATGTAAAACACATATGATAATAATAACTAAACATACAAGACAATTAGAATTACATATGCAGTAGTAGTGGTTGATGTTTACGGTTGTCCTTGTGTCATAATTCTAATACAAATAAATAAATAAAACTCTAAATTGATGGATCAACAAATAGAGTTAGATTCAATGTACAATTTGGATTCATATGAATTAAAAGAAATCATTTGGTTTTGAAATAGAGAGACTCGTTTTTCTTATATCATCATCATATCAAATGGAATGAAATGATGGTTACTATGATAATGAATTCGGTTAATTATTAAATACTTTCCGACCAACGCGTTACCTCCTCTTTCATTTGTCTTGTACTTCTAGTTTTCGTTTGTCTTTTAAGTTTTATTTCTTCATTTTCCTCATGTGTTATATTAGTAGCGTAAATGGGTTGGTTGGTTATTGCTTAAAACTTATCGGTCGGGGCGGGTATGTGATTCTCGGCCGCCGACAAATATTTTTGTACTTCAACTTCAAGACATTCGTGGAACTTCAAGTAAAGCAATCTTTGTATTGTATTCACTTAATGAAATCAAATATCAACACGCTCGGCTGAGGCGCGTGTATGACCCACCTCTGTGACTATAGTGAAGCTACGACATATGCTTATGTATGTTAAAGCGATTCAACTAACTCAATTAGCTAAGCACGCATATGAACTCTTTACTGGGCGGTTCAAATAAAGTAATATTTGTCGGGATAACAGTGACCATTACTCAATTTTCAAACCAAAAATGTAACTAGCTAGCCAGACAAAAAGTTTCGATATGTTACACAAACGAATTATTCCTTCTTTTTTTTCTGAATAAATTAAGATACTCGGATTATGAATATGTTAGTATGTTCTAAAATTTAAACAATTGGGGTTATGCTGAAAAATAAGACATTGTTTTTTGTACAAAGGTCATCTTCTTTTAACATGTTACATTATTCGAAATTACTCAAAGTCTCTGGTGTGTATATATATATATATATATATGAAAATATCGACCGTTGCGTACAAAACAATTCAAATATATAATTAAACACAAATACAACTATATATATATATTATCCCGACAGACAGAATATAAAGAGAAAAAACAATAGATTGAATTGTTGAAAATATATAACGGAAATTGGGGATGGCCGCACGCACGCTGGCCTCGCACCGCCCTTTCAACCTTTGCGGCCTTCTAAGCTCTCTCGCAAATCTCAACCACTGCCCTTTTTTTTCAATTTCAAACTTATCGGCCCAAAGACGTATGAATACGTGCATGCATATACACACACAGCAAAATACAATACAAAACGTACGTACGTATGTATATTTTATGTACAATGTATGGGTTCTTGTTTCCTTCGTTCAGAGACGTTCAAATTGCACCGACTCACTCATTTTCTATTCCCTTTATATAAACGCAGGCCAAACCAAATATAATCCGGCCCATGTAACAGTAATACAATACAAAGCGTGGTTTCTAAGTTATATGATTTGCTAAATACCAAAGATTCGAAAATTGCCAAAATACTTAAGAAACTATATTAGAGTGACAAAATTCTAGATAAGAACTTGCGTAATTGGTGTTGGAAACATTTTTTTTAAGTGAGGAGACCACTTCTATTCCAAAAATGGCTGAGCTGGGAATAGTGAAAGAAAACATGTAGAATCAGTACGTAAACGTTTGTGTTTGTCTGTGAAGTGTAACAAGGAAGAATTAGGAGAATATTATGAGCTTTTGTACTAGAATCAGAATCTTCTTTTTTTGAGATTTCACTGTCCAAAATAGAGCTGCAAGATTGTAAAGGAATGCAAAAATTGTAAAATGACAGAAAAATAAAAATCCGACCTGCCGGAATCGAACCAGCGACCTAAAGATTTGCTGTCACAGACTACAGTCTTCCGCTCTACCAACTGAGCTAAGGTCGGTTGTTACTCAACGATCACATTTAACCAATTAAAATACTAACTTATTTGACCCCTGATTCGGTTTAATGTCAAAACCGGGATACGCACGGTATTAATTTTGACTGGCAGATTCGCACGTGCCGTGTAAAAGAATAGCACGTGGAACATAGAGAAGAAGAGGCAGGGAAGAGAAGAGAGAGAGATTTGGGGATATGCTAGCGTCACTTGCGGTTGACAGATGACCGCCGGATTTTGCTTCACCGGCCACCGTTTCTTATATCCCATCAGAACCAGAAGAACACTCACACACATTAACAATCTCCAAGTGAAGTATTTAAATTTCCAAACTTTTTAATATCGTTTCTGGGATTGGTGTTTCTTCTTCCGAACGTGAAGACTCTTTCGGTGCTGTTCTTTCTCACAACCCAGGACTCACTCTTCTGTGTGTATAAAATACGCGAAATGATCAACGATCCGTGGAACCATTCAAACCCCTTTTCGTGAAGGTGAAAGCATTCTGATTTTTTGCTTTTTTGTATCGATTGATCGTGAACCCAGCAGCAATGGAGACGGCGAAAGCGAAGCCCAAGAACCGCAGCTCGATGAAGAAACATGTATCCGTGACGATGGAGCATGTTCTGTTGGCGCTGCGTGAGACCATGGATGAGAGAGAGATCAGGATTCGTAGTTTGTTTGATTTCTTCGACAATTCGAATTTAGGGTTCTTAGATTACGCCCAGATCGAAAAGGGACTTGCTTCGCTTCAGATTCCTCCCGAGTACAAGTACGCTAGGGATTTGTTTAGAGTCTGCGACGCTAATCGTGATGGCCGTGTTGATTACCACGAGTTTCGTAGATACATTGATGCTAAGGAGCTTGAGCTCTACAGGATTTTTCAAGCCATTGATGTTGAGCACAATGGCTGCATTTTGCCTGAGGAGCTTTGGGAAGCTCTTGTCAAGGCCGGTATGTACTGTTCCATTCCTACTGTTTCACTTAAATTTCCAAACTTTCATGGGAATTGTGGCTTTTTGATTGGTCTACGGTGAATTACCTAATGGCAGTGTGTTGATGTTACAACGTTTTCTTGGTTGATCGGTCTTTTATAGTCTTCTGTTGCATAATTTTTTCATGTCGAGTATCACCAACCCACCTATATAAGCCCCACAGTTACGTTCTTGTAGGCATTGAGATCGATGATGAGGAACTCGCTCGTTTTGTTGAGCATGTTGATAAGGACAACAATGGAACTATAACATTCGAAGAGTGGAGAGATTTTCTTTTGTTATACCCTCATGAAGCCACCATTGAGAACATATATCATCACTGGGAAAGGGTGTGCTTGATAGACATTGGGGAGCAAGCTGTTATACCAGATGGTATAAGCAAACATGGCAAAAGAAGCAGATTACTTCTTGCTGGTGGACTAGCTGGTGCTGTTTCTAGAACTGCTACTGCACCTCTTGATCGACTGAAAGTTGTTTTGCAAGTTCAAAGGGTGCACGCAGGGGTCCTCCCAACGATTAAGAAGATATGGAGAGAAGATAAGTTGACAGGTTTCTTTAGAGGTAATGGGTTAAATGTCATGAAGGTTGCTCCTGAAAGCGCCATTAAGTTTTGTGCTTACGAAATGCTAAAACCCATGATTGGGGGAGAGGACGGTGATATTGGTACAAGCGGGAGGCTTTTAGCAGGTGGAATGGCTGGTGCGCTAGCTCAAACTGCTATTTACCCTATGGATCTTGTGAAGACTCGGTTACAGACTTGTGTCAGTGAAGGTGGAAAGGCACCAAAGTTATGGAAGCTCACAAAGGATATATGGGTTCGAGAGGGACCTCGGGCATTCTACAAGGGTCTCTTTCCTTCTCTTCTTGGGATTATCCCTTATGCAGGAATCGACCTCGCTGCATATGAAACGTTTAAAGACTTGTCTAGGACATATATTCTACATGACACTGGTTAGAGCATCGAAGCCATAGATCCTAATGTTTCCTTTGTGTATGATTTGTTCTGTGATATACTGAGAAAGTTTGAAATTTTGCAGAGCCAGGTCCGCTAATACAGCTGAGCTGTGGAATGACATCAGGAGCTCTTGGAGCATCATGTGTTTACCCGTTACAGGTAGTAAGAACAAGGTAAAACCCCAAAAATTCGAAAGCATGTAACAATTCTTATGTCTTTTGTCTGTGTTTGTAAAAAACAAGGTTGATCCTTTTCATGTCAGAATGCAAGCGGATAGTTCAGAGACGACAATGAAGCAAGAGTTTATGAAAACAATGAGAGGCGAAGGTCTGAGAGGTTTCTACAGAGGACTCTTACCCAATCTGCTCAAAGTAGTTCCAGCCGCAAGCATCACGTACATTGTTTATGAAGCTATGAAGAAAAATATGGCTCTTGATTAGCCCAAATACGTTGGTAAAATTTTCTCCGGGTTAGATTATTCTTTTTTGTCCCCAAGGGTTCACTCTAGGTTATTATATGTGAGAAAACAAAAACAAGACAGAGATTGAAACATGTCTGTTCGTTGGTGTGTTCAGTATAACTCACTTCTCCATAAAGGATTTTGAATCATTATAAAGTATTAATGAACTCACATCTCCTTCTTTAATATTAAGAAATCAACACCAATTATAGATCTTTCAACATGTATATTATTCTCTAACTAAACACAATCCGACAGGGTAATAAGGGAGACAAGTGTAGTTCTTGGTTAGAGTTATACTAATCATTTATTTTCGTTAAGTAATAAACTAGTAATTAACTTTACAAATATTAGATTAGTTAACTTCATTTGAAGAGGTGTGAAATGTTTCGTTGGAATTGTGTTAACATATCGGGTGGTAATCTAGTACTAATCAAGGTTTAAGGACACCGGGGCTCCTGATATATAATCTTTGAGCTGCACTCAGAAAATTGCTGCAACAAAACATGGGAGTAAAGACACATGAAACCGACATTATATTTTAAAAAGAGAGATGAAATTGAGATGGATCATACTCCCAAGAGATGTCTCCGGCCATCATCCAATTTCCATTTTTGTCTAAATACGTTAACGTATGATGATGATTCCTAGATACAGAGCTATCTCCGTCGCCGTCTGTTAACATCAAAGTAACTCCTATTAGAAAAATTAAATTACGTATTTGGTTTGGAAAACTGATCAAAGTGACGCACCACTATCACACATATCATTAGGTAATCCAAAACTAAAAAAATAAAAATAAAAAAAATAAATACTTTTAAATGCTTAAAAAATGCTTAAGTTAGACAAAAAAAAAATTGAATGATTTTGGAGCCCTTGTCTTACATTAATAACCTCACTGAATTCATTTTTTTTAATAATTATTTTGAAATCCTTAAAATTTTGCTGATAGTTTGAAAAAAAAACCATAAAACTGATATATTCTTTTTCTTTAATTTAAAATATATTGTTAGTTACTTACATCTAATTGTTGTATCAAACATGTTAGACAAAGCGGCCACGACGCTCTCGTAGTTATTGAAGGCGAAGATATTGAGTTTTCTGCCAATGATATTACCCTCTTTGAAAACTTTGACAAAGCGAGATTGAGAAGATGAAGACTCCATTGTTGAGACCAACATTGATGTCTTAAAACCTGTTTCAACTATTTATATCAGAATTTATTAATTATTTTAATTACACATTCTAATTGTCAGAATGTAATTTGTATTAAATCGATACAGATATATATAGTTATACCTTTTATTCAACAATCTGTATTTATCTAGATAGATGACAGCATAATTATGAAAATAATCTAGAATAAAGATATTTATTAATACAAAAATCTAAATTATATATCTTTCATTTAATAGGTTTTTCTTAAGAATATATATGTTTTAATGTCTATAATCTCTTTTAGTAGAAAATGAACTCAAAATTTATAAAAAGTTCATTTTTAAAAAAATATCTTTAAATATATAAAAGATTTTATAATTATGAATATTAAAGCATTGCTATGGATGTACATAATTTTTTTTATTGTTCATTAAGATTTGATTTTAACTATTCAACATTTTAAAATTTACAAATCTACATGATTGTGGATTTTTTTTAAAGAGTTGACTTATTATAATGTGGCTATTTATATATTTCAAATCATATATTTTATTTACACTATTGACTTATTCAATTTATATTTACTGAAAATTTGGATATACTACTTTCTTTCACTTTTATTTTAGTTTAATAGAGTTTTTATAAGCATTTTGATAGACATATTTATCAGAAATATAATTAATTTTAATTCCATGGACTTAACATATTCGTTTTAAGTTTTCATCTTTAATTTATACTATCTCAGTAATAACTCTTTTGTGATCAATTATATTATTTTTTATTTCGAATAAAATTATGCTTTGTGGTAATGACAAAGATTATGCTTGGTGGCGATGACAGCGATGTCATACCTAAACATTAATTATTAAAAAACTGGTTTCGGCTTTAGTGTCTGTTTTAAAAATTAGCGGATTATTTTTCATTTTCGTCTATTTTTGGATGGGATTTTCATTAAAGTTATGAAACCTTTATAATGTAAATTGTGCAATTCCTTAAACAATACACACATATTTGATCTTTATGTAGATTAAGATAAGAAGGTTAATTGGAATAGTTTATGTTATGGGAATCGTAAATGCTATCATGACTTGGAACTAATCAAATGAAAGAAGAATAATTGGGGGAGAAAGTGTTGACTGTGAATTAGTAATCATTGGCAACAACAATTCTTTCGGTCGTGGAGGTGAAGGCGGATTCAGGTGGGTTTGGTCACAAAATCACTAATATAAGATGGAATTAAACAACCCAAAAGTATATATCTACGAGATCTATGCATTCTAATTGAACCATATATATATAATTAAACTCTTTCACATCCGTTAGAAAGTAAGAATAGTTGTCAAAATAAATGACCATATAGTTTAACATAGAACCGTCATGATCGTATCTCAAACCCTTTCACATCCGTCACGGCCGTCAGTAGAGTTAGCAACGGTGCTACGTCGACTATAAGCTATTCGTGGATCGCAACTTGGATCTTAATATATATATAAAGATAGTTTTTTTTTAAAGAAACAACTGCAGGATCGATCGAACATACGTAGAACTATTATAAAAAACAATCGGAATCTAACACCACCGGAAAAATAAAGAAGAAGTTTGAAAGAGAAAATAAAAAAGAAGTGAAAACGAAGAAGAAAGGCGTAGCCTTCCCTTTGCCTCTGATGACTTGCCGTTTTTGTATCCTTCAGGAGAAAGATAACGGAACCGAGCTACCTAGTTAACCGTAGTAGCTCCAAACCTTGTTAGTACGCCGCCGCCGCCGCCGTCTTTATCCGTCTCATCCTCCATATCTTTCTTCTCCTTTGCTTAGAGATTAATTGACTTCAACAAGGAGGTGAGTTGATTAAAACCGTTTTGGTTAGTGTTTCTTTTTTACGTCTAATGCTTCATCCCATTTATAATGCTTCATCTGGTCCCATATCCCAAACTAATACCATACTTAGTTTACTATTATTGTTTAAACATGAATATATTATAAGTCTTGCTCGCATCAGTTTTATTTTTCAACCCATGGAATCTTTTTGAAAGTTATACCTAACGTCGGTAAAATTTTAAATAAACATTTTTATAACGTGCATGGTTCTACTTTCTATAAAGATATCCATTTTTGCATTATTTATAGTACTAGTAAAATATTTATAAAGCATATATACATTATTTCCAAAACTTGGTGAAACTTGAGATTTGGTTTAAATACTTTTATTTTAATACAATAATTACATATACAGTAAAACCTCTATAAATTAATAATGTTGGGACCATGAAAATCTATTAATTTATAGAGGTTATAGAGAGATTTTCATAATTTGGAAAGTTTTTTCAAAAAGCTATTTAAAAATAAGATTTAATTCTGATAATTAGTATTTTATATAATTAGTTCCAAAGAAAAACATAATTATTATGTCTTGATATAGAATGCTAACAATTTTTGATATAGTAAAATATTAGAAATAAATTCTAACAAAAACTAATGTGTCTATATATACATATATTTTGAAAATTTTACCTAATTATTAATTTATAATATTGATGGGACCATATATTTACAAAGGATTTTCAAAAAATTATTATCTTATTATTTTATCGAAATGTGTCTAAAATTACACTGGTCCCAAGTCAACCGGAAAAATTTATTAATTTATAGAGATTATTAATTTACCGAGTATTAATTTATAGAGGTTTTACTGTATATTATGTTTGTTTTGCGAAATTGGATGCAGAAGAAAACAACGTAATAATCCTTCTAACAAAGATAACAAAATTATGATTACGAAACTTGAGATTTTTGTTCAAACAGCCATTTTTTTGGTTTTAATTAGTAAAAACCATTATTGTTATTTGGTATCTTAATAGCTAAAATTTATTGATAGAATATATATAAAAACAAAACTTGTCGAATCACTCAATTATACTGGCAATTATGCTGCAAATCAATGATTTCAACTATAATTTCGAGGACTTGCATGATCAGGCTAGTGGAATAAACATAACATATTATAATGAAAATCGAAGAAGGGAAATTAGAAGAGATGACAAGAAGTATCGAGGTGGTTTCTCTGCAGCAGATCGATGGAACCGAAGGAGTAGTCTTATATATTATTATTATTATTCTTTTCCTTTCCGTCGGCATAGCTTTTTTTTTTGCTATATTTATCTATACATCCTCCACTTGTTTATTGTATATGATTATCTCAACTTTCGTATCATACACTTATTGCTGTTTATCGTTAATACTGTACCTTTTTTTTTTTTGCTTTACTAGTAGTACATGACTAACTAGGAGAGTTAGGACATTTGCCAAATTAACTTAACTTTTTTACAAGTTTACTCGTGGGTTTGAAAAAGAAAAAACCAGTTATGTATTAGTATTATAAAATAACTAACATCTATTTATTTACGATTTAGTACTTGACATCTACGTAAGTTTTGTTTTATTTATTTACTCTATTATTTGCAACTCCTTATTTCTTTTTTTTGTTTAGTTGCTCACGACAATTAAATATACAAGAGGATTGTAGAATTATATATATACTAATCAATGTCATCAACTCCACTAGAAATAACATATACATATTCCAAGAGCTGATATTAGTTTAGTGGTCATATACGAGGACCACACTTATACATTCTTCGGCTCGCTCAACCCACTAATATTGAGAGTTTGTATCATCCGTTTGATAAAAACGTACAGTCCTTAAATTTTCAGAAAAAAAAACAAAAACTGCAAGAATTGGAAAAGAAAAAACCATTGCAAACTAAGATTTTTATTTTTCTTAATGATTATCATTCGTTCTACATAATAGAAAATGATTAAGAATATAAAGCAAAGATGAACGTGAATAATGTGATTACAGTAGTAGTAGGCCTTAATTTCTTTATATAGAGAGGACTGTAGTAAAGCTCTTTACACCGTTTTTATCTATTAACAAAAATAGCAACGGACAATAATTACGTCGAATAAGCACTAATTCCATTAAAGTGGGAGCTAGTAAGCACCAAGCACACACTACTAGTCCAGCTCGTATCAATTTACTAATTTTTAAAAAATCTTGTTTTAATTCCTTATTGAGAAAGGTTTCTCCACTTTAGTTCAGTCTTATCCCAAATAGCGTTACTTTTACTTTTCTTTCAAAATTAAATAATATATTGAATTCACTATCTTTAGATATATAGGCAGGTCACTACGATTTTTCTTTCATAAATATAATCACATTTAATTATACACACACTTTGTAGAATAATAATGGCTACAATATAAACAAGCCGTTAACAGCGAGATGTTTTTTTTTTTTTTCAGTCTCAATTCTCAAACATGGAATTTTTTTTCTTTTTTCTTCATGGAATCGATAATTAAGCTTCTAGTAACGGCATTGGTTCATCCAATAGCAAGACACGGTTCCGTCAACCTAGGCACGCACAGGAGCAATGTGATTATCACAAGGTCGTATTATTTATTAATGCGACTGGTGAGACGAGAGTAGGAGGACTATCTAGAAGCTTTACTTGTATAAAGACTAAATTATTTTTTGGGTTTTATCCTTTGGAATAGGTCATTCAAGTACTTGACAATATATTTATATCTCTTTTTATATTTCAATTTTGACACACAGAACCAATGGAATAAAATATACGTATATTACTGCAGTGAAATCCCAATAATATGGAATATGATGTGACGTGGATCTTCATGAGACTTCCACGACCTAAACTGCATGTTCTTAAATGCTTACACGTATACGTTCTACATTTCTCTTCTCAGTTCCAGGTGTCTCCATCTTCCTTTTTTATATCCCACAATCTAAAACTTAAATCACTCCAAGTATCATCATTCACAATAAGTAGAAGTACAATATCTTGCTTTTGGTTTCAGCAGATTTCGCGAACTTTAGCTCTTTCAGCAAAATTTTACTTAAATCACTCGTCAAGAACCCAGCTATGGCCGTTCGATCAACAGTAAGTAACCTAATACGTCGTTTTTTCTCTATGATTTAGTGGCTCTGTTTTGACTTTTTATCTTTTGTATGTTTGAAGGGTCAGTTGAAAAGCATGATGCAAAGGTTAAGAACGTACGCCACAGCCGCAACACCGAGATCCAATAAAGCGTATTCTACGGTGGCGACAGAGTACGGTGGCCAGAGATCATCCACCACCACGACGGCTACAAAAGCTGACTTCACACCTGTTTACGTCTCCATAGGAATGATCTCATTGTCGGTATCGTTCGGTCTCTACACTGCTTATCTTCATCTCCACGAGAACCCTAGCGTGCGTGTCAACAAGAAGACAAGGGAGACTGTTCCCGAGATTGAAGATCCCGATCGAGTTCTAGATGAAGCGGACAGGTTCGCCAACAGGTCTTGGTTCAGGAAAATAGCTCACGTTCAAGAGTTTGACAAGCAGGATGTGATTTCCGATCCAATCAGGAAAGACCAGTTCGCTCACAAACCTCGTGCCTTGACGCTTAAGGATGTCGGAGTTGATCCTAAGATGCATGCGACTCACTAAGCTTTATTTATATACGACTGGTTTTAATTATGTGTTTTTCGATAATTCCATGTTTTTCCTACAAATAAAACGACTTTGTTTTTTTTTGGTAAGGAAGTCGAATGGGATTTAGTTAAGGTTTAATCCTGTGAAATGAGACGACTTGAGTTTGTATTTTGTTTTTGTTGTTGTTACTGAACAGTTTGTAAATTATGTCTAATTGAAATAACGGTTAAAACTTTGCTTTAAAAGTAGCGATTAATGTCCTATTCAGTATCTCGAAATTACGAGAGAGCAAGTATTAGTGAAGTGGAGACTCAGATTCAGATTATAACGAGTTTCTGTCGGTTTGGTCTTTGGATAAGATGGGTAACAGAGTTAATTTATAAGCCGAGCGGATCGAATCAATTTATATTGGGCTAAGGCCCAATAGCATGATCAAGACCGCCAGAAATTGGCACGTATGGCTGCGTGCTTTTGGATGACGTGTCTCTCAGTGATAGGTTAATGTCACGTGGCGTTCGATTCATAGGTCTAAAATACGAAGTAGAAGGAAGATTCGAGAAGAGTAGTATATATACATATATCCGGGAAAGCTCCGGGAGATATGTAAAGATTTACATCTTCATCTCCGATCTACTTCTCTGTTCTTTTTATTCGACTTTTGATTCTCGCGAGGATGAGAGAACGGACTCTTACATTCGTTTCGCTGCTGCTTCTGGCTTTGGTTTCGTTTTCGAATCTTTGCCACTGTGACGACCAAACGGTATTTATGTTCTGTCTTCCGTTGGAGAAAGTTCTGTTTTTTAGATTTGTCCACTGAATTTGTAATAACCTTGTTGTTGTGTTTTCTTTTGTTTAGGTCCTGTATGAATCGTTCGAAGAACCTTTTGATGGTCGTTGGATTGTTTCGGAGAAAGCTGAATACCAAGGTAAGTAAAAGCTTCATTTCTCTTCTTTGATGGCTCTTTGTTTGGAATTTTTGGTATTTGTTTAGCTCGTTGAAGTTAATGATGGTAAGTTTAGAATCAAAGGGTAGAATAAGTTGTGCTGTTATTGATTTCCAGATTTAGAACAATGTTTGGGATTTTGCTGGAAGTGGATAAGCAACAGACTTTTGTGGGAATCTGGCAATTTTTTTGTTTAAATTGCTAAAAGGTTATCTCTTTTCCAGGTGTGTGGAAGCACGAGAAGAGTGAAGGGCATGATGATCATGGACTTCTAGTGAGTGAGAAAGCTAAAAAGTACGGAATAGTGAAAGAGCTCGATGAGCCACTGAACCTTAAAGAAGGAACTGTTGTTCTGCAATACGAGGCTCGTTTCCAACAAGGGCTCGAGTGTGGTGGTGCTTACTTGAAATATCTTCGTCCTCAGGAAGCTGGATGGGTTCCCCAAGGGTTTGATAATGATTCTCCTTACTCTATCATGTTTGGACCTGACAAGTGTGGTGCTACCAACAAGGTGCATTTCATCTTGAAGCATAAGAATCCTAAGAGTGGCGAGTTTGTAGAGCACCATCTCAAGTTCCCTCCTTCTGTTCCATTTGACAAGCTTTCTCATGTCTACACTGCTATCTTGAAACCTGATAATGAGGTGAGGATTTTGGTTGATGGTGAGGAGAAGAAGAAGGGTAATTTAATGTCTGCTGAAGATTTTGAGCCTCCTTTGATCCCTTCCAAGACCATCCCTGATCCAGAGGACAAGAAGCCAGAAGACTGGGATGAGAGAGCCAAGATTCCTGATCCTAGTGCTGTGAAGCCTGATGACTGGGATGAGGAGGCACCCATGGAGATCGAAGATGAGGAAGTTGAGAAACCCGAAGGATGGTTGGATGATGAGCCTGAAGAGGTCGAAGACCCTGAGGCAAGCAAGCCTGAAGATTGGGATGATGAGGAAGATGGTGAGTGGGAGGCTCCTAAGGTTTCCAACCCCAAGTGTGAGGCAGCACCTGGATGTGGCGAATGGAAGCGACCGATGAAGAGGAACCCTGCTTACAAGGGCAAATGGAGCTCACCTCTCATAGATAATCCAGCTTACAAGGGAATCTGGAAACCCAGAGACATTCCAAACCCTGACTACTTTGAGCTTGATACACCGAACTACGAACCTATTGCAGCCATTGGTATTGAGATTTGGACAATGCAAGATGGTATCATTTTTGACAACGTCTTGATAGCTAAAGACGAAAAGGTTGCTGAAACGTACAGACAAACCACATGGAAGCCCAAGTTTGACGTTGAGAAAGAGAAACAAAAGGCAGAGGATGAAGCTGCTGGTGAGACAGATGGTCTCAAGAGCTACCAGGTAAATTGATTTTCACCACGGGATATGAAAAAGTTGCACAAATCCGTTTTACTTATATTTGTCTTTGCATTGGTGCAGAAGAAGGTGTTCGACCTCTTGTACAAGATCGCAGACATTTCTTTCTTAAGTGCGTACAAGTCAAAGATCATGGTAAGTTGTCATTTCCTAGACTTTAGAACATATTGTATGAAGAAGAAGAAAAGGTTTACTGAGAATCTGCAATTTTTTTTTTTTGGTAGGAACTTATTGAGAAAGCTGAAACACAGCCAAACTTAACCATGGGTGTGCTCATTTCCGTCGTGCTTGTCTTCCTCTCCATCTTCTTCAAGCTGATATTTGGTGGTGCAAAGGTAAAAAAACATGTCAGTTTTTATTTGGGTGTGGTATTATTGGCTTGGTTGCGTAACGAAGTTTGGCGTATTGAATTGTTATGTGCAGGTTAATGTGGAAAAGAAGAAACCGGAAACAGCAACTGAGGCCTCAACGAGCGAGACAAAGACAGAGGAGAAGGGAGAAACGGCAGCTGTGCCACGTAAGAAGCAGACAAGGCGTGATAGTTAGAAAAAGAAGGCGTAGATTTTGATTTTTGGGGGTTCTTTGTTTCGGTTTATAGACAGTGTAATACAAGATTACAAGATTGTAACATGTTTATTTTTGTATGCTTTTAGTTTCGTTTGAATCTGAATATGGATCAACACTTGGTTTGAAATATGATATAACAGACCAACAATAGCGCTTGAGCGATGTTAACAACTCGAAATTAATACTTTTAATATTAAAAGTCTTTCTTCATGCTAGTGGTTGACAACAATAGCACCATACTCGTTTGAAAACATAGAATTGGCTCTTAAACACAAAAATGAACAGACTACCAAGGGAGGAACTTACATGCGGCGGCACACTTACGGGCACAAATCAGATTTATATTCGTTTTAATCTTCATGGCGTCTCTGCCATTATACAACTTCTCTAGCCTCGTGGAGAAACGACATGAAAGCCCATGTGTTGATTTCGGATATTTCCCATGTATGATGATACTTCTAACCATAAACAAGGTAGAGGAGCTTCTCCACGTTTCTCAGACGAACGTTTTTAAGTAGATGAAGAAATAACTTTGGTATTAATTTTAGACTTCTAGCATAGCTAAACGCAATATAAGTGAAAGAAAACAAAATTTTTGTATATCTCTTCTTCTTTTCTAGAGGGAGTGTCACATAAAGAAAACACACAAAACTGTAAGTATCGTTCAAACTTGCCCTTATTTCAGTACCTACATGGAAAATTTCTTTAAAAGTCCATAACAACAACAAAAAGAAGTATAAATTAAAAGAAGTAGGAAAGAAACAAATCTAAAACGTTACAAAAAGTTCGACATGGCTTCAAGACCGAAGCTTTTCTCCCTACCTCATGGTCCATTTGAACCATATCACAACTTATTGGTTTTTATAATTTACCGGCGACCACCGGCAGGTTTTCTGGCAGGACCAGTGTCCTCGTCATCGGATTGAATGTCACCGTACTGCCAGATTCCAGTTCTCGACTTGCGAGCTTCATCTTGGAACTTCTCTAAAGCATCAAGAGCAGCTTGTTTGTCTTTGTGCTCCCATTTCTTACGTTTTTCCATTCGTGCTATTCCTTCCTGTTCATCATCATCATCGTCAATACCAATTCTTGGAAATATTTTTTAGACAAGGTGAGAGAAAACCGACCTGAAGCATTGCAGCGTTTACAGAGATCTCATCATCGACAGCGATGAGAGTGACAACAAATTCTGTTCCAGTGCCTTGCCCTTTGACTTTGCCTCCAGAAGTGTCTCTTTCTTCAATCACAGCTTTAAACTCTTTACCGCTACCCAGCGTCACCGTATGTAAATACTCTCCAGCTTCAGGACCAAAATCTTCTTCCAAGCTTGGAACCTTTATGTAGGCAAGTCTGCAGAGCTGAGCAAGCCCTGGTGCTGCGGATACCGAAGGGTCGATGGGTCTAATTGCGCTGTATGGGACTGTCTCTTGGTTTCCGTAATCGATGTAGAAAACCTCGAGCTTCTCATCTGGGGATTGGATCGCTGCCCGGGGTGCACTCACAATCTGAACACAAGTATTGATTTGAATGAATAAGCAAGAAGCTAAGAAAACTAAAAAACAAAGAAAGTGAACTGGAATTACCATTGCACGGTTCCAGGAGTTATCAAGGCTAAACTGTGCAAGGACGATGTCACCTCTCTTAGGATTGAAGGATCCAATAATGGGAGCGTCTTTAATACTCAAGGATGCAAGCTGGTTCTGAATCGAAGCTATTTTCTGATCTCCAGCAGATTGAACATAGAACCGACCACCTCCAAGTACTTCTGTAACCACAACCTGTAATCATAGGTAATCAAAAGAAATTGCCTTTTATAGTTTACAAAAATGATATGAATTTTGTGAAGAATCATGTAAATATATTCACCTTTAGGGTCTCCTTTTGCCTGGTTTCTACTGTATTAGTATTTCCGTTTGAGACTTCTTCTCCTTCAACATAGTTTTCCCAAATCTGAAATATCAAAAACGGTTTAGCTGGCTTTGGCCTAAACGTTTTGAAAAGGGAGAATGTTTTACACAGTAACATTTAAATGATTGTCACCTTCAGTTTCTGGTTTTTAGCAGATCTCTCGGCCTGTTCAAGAAGATGTGCTTCAGCAATCCTGTCTGCGCCAAAGCTGGTCTGCATTTTCGCTAAACCAGCTTCAAGCAGAACTGTCGCCACATTTGTCCTTGACTCCCACATGGATCCCAAGAAAGTACCAGTTCTATCCACAGTCTCAACTTCAATCTGTGTGAATATTATAATAGACTAAGAAAAAAACATATAGGAGAATAGGAGAGTGAGATGTAAATTTAGGGGTGCATTTTGTTACCTCAACATCTCTCTGCATGATCCTACGTCTCATTACAGCGATAGCTTCGTCTGA